TCTTAAACTGCCTTTTCTGTAGATAGTAAGAACATGCCTGTGTCTACTGAAGGTGTAATTTAGGAGCCCCAAACAAACTCTAAGAGGGGGAGCATTGTCCGATGACTAAAACCAACCCTGACATTGACATAATCTGGGTTACTTCCTAGTTCTGCAACAACCTGTTCATTGATCTTTGACCTGACGGCAGGTTTGGGGAATAATTGGAGTTATGAGGTTGAGGCATGACCCAGGCTTCCATGGAATTTGCATCTTCTTGTGATTTAGGACTCTGTGTGTGTGTCTGAAAAACTGTCTCCACCCTGCAAAGGTGCGGAAAAGTCTGAGTGAGAATATCCTTGAATCAGTAGTTGGGCTAGGAGTAGTGATGCTCTGCATATAAAAAGAGAAAACCTCCTTTGATTCAAACTTCTGCTTTGCATATCCACACAGGTTGAACTAGATCAGCTACTGATTTGGGCTATGTCCTAGTGTAGACAAAGCCCGAGGTCGTGTGGGTCAGAACCACAAAAGAGCGTAAGTGCTGATGTCCCGCTTAACTCCCACTTCAGGGATTTAAGTCTAAATTTGTCATCCTCCAAACCCAGGTCAGCTGCCACAAATTCCACAGGTGTCACAATTTTTATCAGTTAGGATCCTTAGAGCATGTCTGCACAAGATGTTGACTGAACAGTAGCCAAAAAATACTGCACAGTGGCATGTCACAACATGGACAGTGCTAATACGCTGCTATGCAGTATTATTAGGCTACTTCACAGTAGCACCACCTAAAATACACATTCAGCAGTGTATTTATTTAGTACTTGCTAATGCAAATATAGTTGTATACTAAGTGTCGGTGCCTATGGGATCAAACTGGATCTGATCAATGGTACATTACAGACTTGAGTTCATTCTCAAGAATCCTGGGAGGCAGACTTCCTTTCTTGGCTAGTCAGTAGATTGGTGATCAGGACACTCTTCCAGGAGCAGGGAGATGTGAGTTTTAATCCACTTAGGTTGAGGAGGGCCCAAATCCCAGGTGTCTCATTTACTGGGCACATGTTCTAACTTGAGGATTTGTGCAAAAGGTGGGCGGTGACTGGGGGTGTTTTTGAGCACAACTTATTGTGGTGGATCAGTGTTGGGCATGTTCTGAGCATACTTATGAGATCCTCTGATGACTTTGGTGTCTCTCCAGAATTAATCTGGACTAAAATGGCATTTGCTTGGGAGGTAGACACCTAGACGATCAGACTAGATCACTTGGCATTCTCAGAAGAAAAAGGTCGGAGGGGGAGGTGGCACTTGTACACATGACAGGGGTTTATTCCTTAGGGTTTTATTTTATGAGCCCTAAATTGAAATGGTGTGTTTTGTTTTAGTTTGTCACTGTATACAAGTGACAGTCCTTAAATATCATAAATCTCAGTGCGCTATTCACAGGAAATTACTGCATGGGGCACCACATAACAATCCAGCCCACTGATCTCTGAAGTACTGAATTACAGCAGGGGGTGCTGCCAAACTGCTAATCCCTGCTACAGGATGGTTGGTGATGTCTAGCTCACAGGTTGCTAACATATACAGCTGACTGAAACGTGTGGGATTTTCATGAATTTAATTAATTGAATTTAGTGTCATTTCAGTAATTACATTACTATTTACATGCATTTCTAAACCGCTGCCACGCAGTGGAAGGATCAGGCCCCCCTGCAGACCAGGGGCTGGCTCCCCAGGGTGCACCTGATTGCCAGGGTCCCTGTTGGCTGCTAAGCCTCACCTTGGATTAATGCACAGAATGAATAACTTCTTGGCCGCCTTACGTGGGCACCTGGGAGCAGTTTCATTTGTCGTTCAAAGCAAACAGTGGGTGCCCGGTCCCAGGACTACAGGTCGTAGCCTGCAGGCATCATAATTTTTTTTTTTCATTTTGAGCCAACCTGAAGCTAACCTGCAGTTTTAACGGGGTGGGCATGAACTGACAGCACAGTCAGACCCAGGGGCCTCCTGGCAACAGACAGCCCCAGAAAGCCACCACTGCCTGCACGGACCCCTGCACCCACTCCAGATGGCCATGGCCAGAGTGCCCACCTGGGCTGTGCTGCCGTTGGCAGCATTAATAATCACTTGGCTGCCTTACATGGGCACCTAGGAGCAATTTCATTTGCTGTTCAAAGCAAATGGCGGCCACCCGGTCCCAGGACTGCAGGTTGTAGCCAGCAGGCATGTGACAGAATGGCGGGGGGTGAAAAGAAAAGAACCCTGTGCACACCCTCCCCATCACCTGTAAGGGATCTGGGATCCTCTGTGACAGTGTGGGGCTCTGGCAACAAGGCTAACCGTATCAGAGCTATGTCTTACTTCTGGCTGCACTGCAGAGAATGGCCCAACCGGGAACCAGGGGCGGGGATGCTTGCTGGTGCAAGCCACACCCTTGTGTGGGAGCAGAGCCAGCCAGGCACATCTCTGATGATGATGAGCAGCAAGCCGACTGCTGCAGGCACAGCTGTTAACCCCTGAGGGAGTATAAGCTACAGCTCTGCGCCAGAGCCAGAACTGGATTGGCATCAGGGATCAGATGGACTCTTTAAGATGTTGCAGCAGTTGAACCACAGGGAAACACAGACAACAGCATATGTGGAGCGATGGATGGGTGAGGAGCAGCAGAGCGACTCACCTTTCATCATACTAATTCATAATGTACTGCTGTGTATCCCCAGGGCAAAACCCAGAGCCTTCGACAAGAGTTGGAGTGTGTGAGACTTTATGCAAGGTAAAGTGACTGTGACCATTTGCTAAGGACTGAGGGTCTGTGAAGCAATATCCTCAAGGAGGTTGAAGCGGGAGCATATGGGTCAGAGGAGCTCCCAGTTTGGCCCCTAAGGTCCAATATCTGATGCAGTCAGCAGTATCAGAGATGAGCAGCTCACATGGGTTCCCACTCTTAAGAAGATGGGATAATCCCTAAAGGAAACATCACCTCCCCAATCTGTATTACACCAAAGTAATGGCAGGTGAGATTGTAAGTACCGGGATACCCTAGCCTTCTGAGGGGCAAGAGCAGATGGTTATTGTGTTGTGCAGACTCAGCTACATATAACCAAGATGTCTTCCTCTTTAAAAAGAAGGAAGTTGGCTCGGTCACAATTTTGGTGCATTGGCCAGAAATCCAGTGAAAACAAAGAAAAAGGGGATTTTCCTTTCCTTTTCTTTCCCTTGGGACGAGCCTTAGGGCCAGGGAAGCACCAAGACATAATGGATACAGATGGTCAGGGGTTGGCCCCAGGGGCAGCAGGGTCACAAGTACAGGAATTGCTTATCCAGCCTCTGCAGGGACAACAGAGCCAAATGGACAAGTTTTTGAGAGCCAGAGCTGAAGAACAAGCGGCCCAGAGTGCGTTGTTTGCCATCAACAGACATTAAATGAGAAAACAACAGGGCGCACAAGGAGGCCTGGTTGAAAGTTTCAGGATGCCTAAAATGGACCAGGATGACAACCTGGAGGCCTATTTAGAGGCTTTTGAGAGACTGACCTTAGCAGCTGAATGGGCCCCTGAACATTGGGCATATCAGTTGGCACCTCTATTAACAGGAAGAGCCCAGGCAGTCTATGTCCTGTGAAGAGGCCAGAGATTATTAAAAAAAAAAATTAAAAGATTATTATAAAGACTGGAGGTGTCAACAGAGATGTATCATATCTAGTCCAGGGCCTGGAAAAACCTGGAAGAGAGGTGCTACTGCAGTCCTTAAGAGACTTGACCCAGCGGTGGCTTAAACCGGAGACTAAAACCCTGGCCAAAGTAATTGATACCATAGTTTTTGAACAATTTATAGGGGACCTAACAGAAGGGACACAACAGTGGGTATGCCGACACCAACCACAAACAGCAGAGGAGGCATTAAAGCTGGCGGAAGCTTTTTTGGAAGCTGAAAGATTCGACCCTAAGGGGTTTAAGGCAGCATCACCTATTAGGTGAGGGGTGTGAGGACCCAACTGAGGAGAGCATGATACCCTGGGGGTTTGCAGGATGATAGATGTTATGCTTGCAGAGAACAGGGACATGGAGCCAGGTGTGCCCAAAGCTGAAGGAGGATTGGGGTCTGCCCCAAGGCAAGACACCCATATCCATGGAAGGATCAGCTAACACAGAAAGACCAGAAGCCATGGACTGTAATTTTGGAGCCAGTATCAGCAGGGTTCTGCCACAAGCAGTGGTAATGATCTTGATAGATGATAAGGACTGTCTCACTATGATTGATACTGGGTGTATCCAAACCTTGATTAGAGAATCATTGGTAGCTCTTGAAGTAAGTGAACCCACTGTCCCAAAGAAGCTAATATGTGTCCATGGGGAACGTCAGGTTTATCCACGTAGGAAACTGAAGATAACAAAATTGGGACAGACACTACCAGTAGGCATGGCCATAGGCGATGTATAGAAGAGGTATGGGTGTGAGTGCAGTTGCCCCTCCTGGCAGCGAGTGCTCTGGCTGGTAGGGGGGCACAGAGAGCGCTAGTGCCCACCCCTGAAATCGGCTCCACTGCTGTCTGCAGGGGAATCTCGCCCTTCCCCCCCACCGGGTCACAGCGAGCCAGTTGCCAGGCCCAAGGATTTTGCGGCATGATTGGCTGAAATTGCAGACAGTTTTTTGGCAGGTCACAGAGATGTCAGAGCTCCCATGCTGCTGGAAGGAAGCAAAAGAAGAGACTGAGGCCATGACAGGCCAAGAAGAAGATGACAGAGAACGGGGAAGAAATAGACTTGGAGTACCTGACAGAATGACGATAGTTCCATGAGGATCAAGAGAGAGAAGAAACATTTCAACATGTGTACAAGGTCGACGTGGTCCGATGGAATGATGAAGTCAGAAAACCTGAGAAAATAACACAGTACCTTTGTTTTGAGGTAAGGGAACGTCTTTTATACAAAATAATAAAGGGAGTAGGGCCAGGGGAAGAAATAGCCCTGTTATTAGTTCCTAAGAGGTACCGAGGGGATCTGCTTCAGATATCCCATTTCCTCCCCACAGGAGGGCACTTGAGCCAGGATAAAACTGAAACCCAATTTCTAAAAAGGTTCTTCTGGCTGGGCATATAGAAAGAGATCAAAAGGTTTTGCAAAGCTTGTCCAGCGTGTCAGAAGACCTCCCAGACATTCCCAAAGAGGGCCTCTTTGATACCTATGCCAATAATTGAATGACCATTTGAGAGAATTGCAATGGATGTGACCAGCCCTTTTCCAAAGAGCAACTCTGGGCATCAGTACATCCTAGTTACTATGGGTTATGTGACTAGATTCCCCGAGGTGATTCCTCTACATATGGTGATGGCTCCTAAGGTCACCATGGAGTTAACGAACTGGGTGGGAATACTGAAAGAGATAGTAACTGATCAGAAGACAAATTTTATGTTGGGAGTCCTGCACGGCTTCTGTAAGACACTACATATTGGACACTTGTGAACCCTCATCTACACCCACAGATGGATGGAACGGTAGAGTGATTTAATAAGACACTGAAAGGCATGCTAAGAGCCATCTACACACGCCATTATTATTTATTTAGCGAATGCAAATCTGTGGAACCAAGCGATAGCCTCCTCGTTAACTGAGTTTAAAGTTATTAATCCGTCTCCTAGTTTGTAGAAGGGACACTCCTCAATAACGTGCAACATTGTTTGTGTCTCTCCACAAGAGCACAGTGGGTTAGCACTGAGGCCCCAGTGGTGGAGGTTGGCTGCACAGGAGCCTTGGCCTGTCCTGAACCTGTTTAGAGAGACCACTCTTGCTGTGTTAATTCCAAACCAGCAAGTTGATGGGTGGGGTTTGTCTCAAGGAACTTATTTATGACTTCCCATGTTTCCCATTCCTTGATCCAAAGGGAATCTGCAGACAGGTCCAGATCCGGGAGGTTGCTCCATAAGGGGCATCATGAGGAAAGACAGGCCTTGGGTGAATTAAACAGCTCATCATAAAGTGGTAGGTGAGATGCAGCACATATGGTTTCAACCAACTTTTGAGTCATCATCAATTGGGGGATGTGTGGGGGAGTGATATTTGCAAGGACAGGAAGCCAAGGGAGGGGAGTGGAGCGGAGGGTTCCAGTTATGATACGCATGGTTGTGCTCAGCTGGGTGTCAACAAGATGTGTGTGTGAGGACTTTTGCCAAACAGGTGCACAGTACTCAGCTACTGAATATGATAGGGCAAAAGCTGAGGTCCGGAGTGTTGTGGCTATGGCTCCCCATATTTATCCAGCAAGCTTGGCTAGCAGGTTATTAAGGCGATGTGATAAACTCCAGCACAGTTTACGCCGGCATCAGCTTGTCCCAGGCACAGCGTCAGCACACGTGTCTGGGAGCACAGCAGTTTGAGTTGGGGCAGAGCAGCCCTGGGCTGGCAGGAGGCCCAGGTGGGTAAGCTCTGGGCTCTCGGTGTCAGCATCAGATGATGGAGTGTTTGCCTGGGGCACAAGAGTGCTAAAGTGCAGGGCTAGATGGCAGGCAGCCCCTGCACTTTAGCACCCTTGTGCCCCAGCCAGCCTGTATCCAATGCTTCAAGTGAGTCAATACCTACAGGTGTGAGAGTCAAAGCTCTCCACCAGTTGGGCCTTCTTTAATGACCTCTAGCACTTCACTGGTATCCATGCTTATGCGCTGCCCTTCTCTTCCCACCCACCATGTCTTGTTATTATTAGCTGAGGAGAAGGCTCCCAATGGTTCTGGAGCTACACATGTGGGGCCGTAGGTCGCCTTGTCAGGGCTCCTGCTTCTCTTTACCCTGTCCACTTGCCGACCAGATGTTCCCAAGTATAAACAAAAATGGAAACACATGAAAATCAAAATGAGTTCTCTACTACCTGACAAATGGTCAGGCCTGCCCAAGGACGTTGGGACAGTACTAATACAAGCTCAGTCTGATCTTCAAACAGTTCAATAAGCTCAATGGGGAGACACTAATAAAGAACATAAAGTCCTCAGAACCCCAACGTTCCTGGACTCTCAGTTAGATGCCCTCAAGCGCCATGACCTCAATCTGTGTCTTGGGGTTCTTCTCCTTTCCCGTGCTTTTTACTGCTGTGGGTCTCCATCCTGGGATCCCACTCCTAGGTACCTGATGCCGCGCACTCCTCCAGGCTTCCAGTAGTCTCCTCTGGCTCTCTCTATGCAGCCGGCTGTCTCCAGCTAGCCAGCTCTCGCTGCAGGGTCAGCTTTCCCCACTCTACCAGCTCTCCCCAGTCTGCTGGCTTTCCCCAGTCTGCCAGCTCTCCCCAGCATGCCAGCTTTCACTGTGCTGCCAGCTCTCCCTGGCATACCAGCTTTTCTGCTGCTCCCGGCTCTCCCCAGTGGCACAACTGCTGGTTATACAAAAAGCCGCGGAGTGCCCACCTATGCGCACCAAGCACATACTCCTAAAGCATGGCTATGGCTGTACTGGGCATGACTATTGCTCCCCTGCCATTGCTGAGGCTCCTCCTGGGAGGTAGGAGACTCCACCGGCCCTTACCAGGCCAACTGCTTTTCCCTTGGGGCCTGGGGCTGCTTCCCTGGTCTCTCCCCATCCCGCATTCTTCAGACATGGGGAGGCGGGTTCCCACACAGCCCGTCACCATCTACATGTGCATTTCAGCACATCAGTCCCTGATAGTACTATCCCATGGAGGAATTAATTTACTGCATCTTAATACAGCTGCATGTGTAGACCGTGACACTTTACTGCAGAGCTAATTAGTCAACTTGCAGTAAAGCACATAGATGTACCCATTAAGCTTACCTTCAGAATTAATATTGTTCCAAAGTTGCTGTCACACTACAGCCAGTTTATTTTCTCTTACCAGAACTGTGTTAAGGCAATGAGACTGTTTGCTGGAGAACCCATCTGGACAGCTTACAACCGGGCAGTTGACCACTTCCCTGCTTGAAGACACTGCATGCAGTTTTTGGAACAGGCAGCACAGTATGGGCAGTCGCAGCATGGACAGTGCTAATATGCTACTGCACAGTATTATTCGACTACTGTGCAGTAGTGTCACTTAAAAGACATTCGCCGGTGCTACGGCCCAGTAACTCGAGTTACTGCACACTTATTTAGTATGTACTTACACAAGTACTAAATGTAGATGTGCCCAGTGTTTCAGTATCTATATTTACTGGTTTCTATTCCTAGCCCTGCCACAGACATGCTCTGTAACATTGGACAAACCAGTAGTTCTCTGTGCAAATTTACTTGGTATTAGTAATGGTGCTGTAGTGCTCATGTAGACACCTAGCTGGGAGGGCTGCACGGCTGGGGCAGGGTGCGGGACAAAGCCACAAATGGTTCATCTGGGAAGTATGCGCCTCCCGGGGCCGGAGCAGGGCGGGCCGGGGCCGGGGCCGGGGCCGGGGCCGGGGCCGGGGCCGGGGCCGGGGCCGGGGCCGGGGCCGGGGCCGGGGCCGGGGCCGGGGCCGGGGCCGGGGCCGGGGCCGGGGCCGGGGCCGGGGCCGGGGCCGGGGCCGGGGCCGGGGCCGGGGCCGGGGCCGGGGCCGGGGCCGGGGCCGGGGCCGGGGCCGGGGCCGGGGCCGGGGCCGGGGCCGGGGCCGGGGCCGGGGCCGGGGCCGGGGCCGGGGCCGGGGCCGGGGCAGGGCCAGGTGTGCAGGTGTGCGCGGCGTCGGCCTCAGCCTGCTCCTGCTGCAGCGCGAGCGCTCGGCACAGCCCCGGCGGAGGCGGAGGCGGAGTGCTCGTCGCGGTGAAATGGCACAGATCCGAGCGCGGAGATCTCGGCGATGGCCCGAGTTGTTTGCATGGGATGTACGATCGTAGGTAACTTTAAGTAAAGATAAATCCTGTTTTCTGGTTGTCTTTTAATTGAAAAATTACTTTGTTCTGCTTTGTTCTATTATGTTCCAGTAAAGCCTGGAAGGACTGGGCAATTAAAATAAGCCGGAGAAGTTCAAACAGGAAAAGCTTTGCACTAACCAAACCTAAAAAATATTATATGCGTATGGCACATGGAAAGGGATTGTAGGAGCCTTGACATGTGGGCTTCTTTACTTTCATAATTTAACTTACTAATGATGCCTTATTCATTTTGCTTTGTTATTTTAAAGAGAGCTGGAGATTCAAGGGAGGCAGTCAAATGTAACCCCTTACTACTGTCCTAATGCTTTACCTAATACATTAACAAATATAGCACTGTAAGTGGGTGCTTGTGTTTGTAGAACTATAAAGTTTAAAGTTTACAACTTGTTTCTTCCTAAGGTGCAAGTGACTCTTCACATGTGGGATGGGGAAAATGATAGCTCTCCCAGATGATCTAGAAAGAGCAAGTCACAGTTGCAGCGCGTGCAAAAGACCACATGAGCCATCTTCTGAGAAGAGCAGAAGGCAAAGTGTGCCAAGTGCAATGAAGCATACTTGGCCTCTTCTGAAAGAAAAGACGCATCTTCTGAAAGCAAAAATGCACTTTCATATATGGGTAAGCCTCTTTATTAGGACCACGGTTCCTTGACGTGCTCAATTATCTCTTGGACAAAAGGGTGTGTTTTAGTTTGCAGTACATTTTAAAACTTCACTAGATACTAAACAGTCTAGTATTATGTTCTGAGGCTCTCAGTAAGAACCAAAATCTGTCCTAACAGGAGATTTGCCCGGTTGGAAATTAGTTACATTGTGATATGGTTATAAAAAGAATCCTGCCTTCATCTGGAGTTGCTTAGATTGTCATTAGTGGGGAGGTGCCAATAGTGGCTTTAAAAAAAATAGAAAAGAAGGGTACTTTGCAACCACTGACAATATCCAGGTGAATACATAGTAGAGAAAAAGAATCTTGATGAAAATGGATTTCAGTGACACATCTCTGAATCACTATTGAAAATGGCATGGTGTTTGGTGTATAACTTCCCACCCTGCCTCAAATAGCTTCTGAAACAATACTGAAGAGTAAGGTTTGACTAAATGTGTCAAACTTATGTGACCCCACAAGGCTGGAAATACAGCAGCATTGTAATCAGTTGTGATTTTCAGAGCTGCAGCAGCCACCTCTTTTTCTGTAACCAAATTTTTAGCTCTGTGGACCAGATCCCTTGGGCAATATGTTTGACATCCCAGCTCTATGCTGCTGAAAAGCTGGGAATATTTGCTGTTTGGTTTATAGTTATTCATTCACTGACAGCAAAGAATGGGAGCTAGCTAAGCTAAAAGATGTCAAAACAAAGGGGCTATTCAATACCCAGTTTAGGATTCTGACATTCAATGTTTCTCTATCAAAAATTTAAGTGAAGGGAAGGAAAAAAAGAAACTAGTAGCAACAATTTTAGGCCAGGGCTGGATTAACACATAGGCAAACTAGGCACGTGCCTAGGGCCCTGAGCTGCGAGGGGTGTTGCAGGCCAGCTGGGCACTGTGAGGGTATCAGTTTTATTACAGGCCAACTGGGCTGTTTGATTCAGTTTTGGATCGAGGAGGCAAAGTTGGGAGTGGAATAAAGGCAAATTTATTATAGCTTACACACACAACAGGTAACAGAAAGATAAATGCGATAAGCAGATAAGGCAGTATAAAAGAGCTAATAGTAAATAATAACAACAGATAATAATAACAGATAGATAGATCAATCTGTCACAGGCCAACTGGGCACTGTGAGGGTATTAGCCACACTGGGCTGTTCAAAACAATAAATAGACAAATTGCCAACCCTTGTCTATCGATAGTCCCTCAATGCCAGGTGTGCGCCAAGTGATTCCAGTGAAGTCAGACATCCCTGATGAGCGACTCTGTCAGAGGGATTACCGGGGAAGGTCCCTTGCTCAGGATCCGATCCTCACTCACACCGGGAGTCTGGGGTCAATCAACGCCGGGGACCAACTTTTGGGCTGAATATCTCCAGATCGACCGCTTCCAGAGCCCTATTCAAAATTTATTTATCAATGGACTCCCAAACCTGCACGTACATACGGATGACCCCTGGGGCTGACAGATGCTGTCCAGTA